AACCGATCTACCTTAGGGTACGTTCCCCCACGCCATTGTCGTACCTGACGATCTTCAGGACTAGTGTGCCTGTCCCTCGAAGCCAGCATCCCTATAGATCAGTCGTTCTATGAATTCGGTCACTGCTCGAATTTACAGATATGTCCCAAGCTATTCGACTGTGAATGTTCGGGCGTACACCGAGCGTGATCTTGTCGACTGGAGAACAGGTATGGGACTATGAATAGTCGACCCTCGGAATCCACCGAATCCGATCTCAAGATCTTGAACTGGCTACCTTGACTGCTCTTGATCTTGATCGTTGGCGATGATCAGAGTTGAGTCAAGCTTGATGTTGGATATCTTACGCCATGCCCAGACCAGGTAGCACGGGGATCTTCCTTGATGAATCCAAAATGCCAGTGCAATTCTTGTTCTTTTCCACGATTTAAAACGGGTTGAGTACAAAAGAACTAGGTCTATATGAATGACCACAACACTGTCCAACCTCGGCGCTTAATCTGAACACTGTATTGGCCAGGATTTAGGGCTACCAAGCAAAGGAACCCCAGAAAACCCTCAGAAAACCCCCAGAAAATCCAACTGATTCCAGGGCAGTTAGGCCCAAAGTCTGGGCAATTTAATAATAAGTACACCGTATATTGACAACCAGCACAGGAATTCGTGGGGCCGACTGATTGGCTTTGGAGCTGCAGCCTATGCGCATCGTGATGCATCGTGATGCATCGTGATCTCTTTCACATAAAATGCGTCTCACCCACAGCGCTATTCTCTTTCTTCTTTATAATTTTGTCGTTCTCCTTTTCTCTATTCTTTCTCCTCCTTGGCTAATTAGTCCAGCCATCTTTCTCTCCCTCTCCCAACTTTGGTTACATCTCGAACTCTCCATCTTCCCGGCTTATGTATTGGAGCTTGCCGCTTGAAGCTTGCCGCTCACCTTGCTGAGCTATTGTTATGGATCCTACCTCTATCATGGCTGAGGCCAAAGATGAGGTTATTCCATCAGAAAACCTAAACGGCTCTGCCCAATCGACAGAAGTCAGAGAAGTCAGAGAAGTCAAAGATGCCGCTGTCGCCCCCGCCCCCGAGACTACCCCAGCCTCTGCCCCCAAGTCGTGCAAGAAACACAACAAGAAGAAGAAGAAAAAGGAGGAGACTGGCAGTTCCTCTGATTCGTCTTCTGAATCCGAGAGCGATGCCGACTCTGGGGAAGAATCTGATTCCACGGAGAGCGACTCCGATACCGAAAAGCGCAAGCGGCATCGACGACAAAAGGCACGTGCCAAGCGTGCGCTCAAGGATAAAAAACGTCGTAAGAAGAAGAAGAAGCAACGGTCGCGCAAGGCGGAGGCGTCCGATTCGGAATCTGACTCGCCCTCTGAGTCAGATTCAGAGTCTTCTGCTGACTCCGGTGACGAAATAGATGACAAGGCGTTGCGGAAATTAGTTACCAAGCTCAAAGTCAGCAAAAGGCGAGCTAAAAAGCTACGTGGATTGGCGTCTGAGGATGTGGCCGCGAACGATTCTGTGGGCGAAACTCGCCGTGAGAAGCGCTCCAAGAAGAAGAAGCCCGCTTCAAAGGTGGCCTACAAGCGGGTTGATCAATGTGAGTTTCTCCTCGTCTTGAATCTCATGCCTTGAATTTTCGTTGTTGACGCGTTCCATAGTATGGGATACCACCATCCACAAGTACAAGCTCACTGAAACCGTGGATGATCCCGATGCCGACGAATGGGACCAATACATCTTCAACATCCGTCGCAAGTTCAACTGGGAGAACAAATACCTCGAGACTGTCGTCGACGTCAAGAGTAAACCTCTCCGGGATGCTCTCTCCAAGATCATGGATGGTGTCAAGGGCGTCAGTCTCGTGCAGGAGCCTGCCGTCGTCGATCCCAACATGCTGTTTTTGTACCTAGAAGAAACAAGGCAGTATATGAAGGACTTGAAAAGGCAGTCGCGCAGCGAGAAGAAGAAAAAAGTCAGAAAGGCTGCTGCCGTCAAAGCTGCTCATCTGAAGGTTCTCATCAAATACCTCGACACTGACTACGCAGACACCAAGAAGACTCTCTACCCACTGCTCGAGGCCAACACGATCACCTTCGATCTGCTGTGGGCCCTGTACAAGCCCAACACCATCGCTTTCACCCCGACCTACGGCAGCACAGATGAACCACGCGCTTTCAAGATCGAGTACGCTATCAAAGAGTCCTCCTTCATGAAGGGCCAATGGTACAGTGTCGATGGCCGTTACCTTGAGTACGACGGCAAGGACTACGGCTTTGGCACTATGTCCGCTGAGGTCGACGCCTTCAAGGGCGCTCGCAAGATCACCAGTCTCGCTTGCTACCCACTGAAGTACCACCGCGACGCTGAGGGTCTGCGTGCCCGTCTCATCGAACGCGGCAAGCGCTTTGTCTCCCTTCGTGGTATGAACTACCGCTTCCATAAAGGTATGGCCTTCTACAAGAAAAAGCGCTCTCTCATCGTCAAGGTCAATATCAATGGCCGCGTTATGATCGACCCGGCTATCCACCGTCGCATCAATCCTAACTACCCCATCTCCACCGTCCGTCCCAAGGATCCGGATCTGATCGATCCCGAAGATCTTGGTATCAGCGGGGACGAGAGTGATGATAGCGACTGCTGCTGTGGTGGACCAGACTCGGCCTCTGAGCAGGGCGGTTCCTCGGATACCCCACCGACGATGTACAAGGTCGTTGAGGATACGGATGGGTGTCCCCACGTCGTGGAGGTTGAAGTCGATGAGAGCGGTGCTGAGATTCAAAAGGAGAAGATGGACCGCATCGAAGGTGCTGCTGCTGATGCCAAGGAGCGCGAGTTCACTGAGGAGGAGCTGCTGGTTGCCTCTCCTGTCGTTCTAGGCTTTGCCTTTAGCGAAAAGCTCTGGCTTGAGTTCACTATTTCTGGTATCAGTGAGATCGAGTGGGACAAAGAAGCCTTTGGCTCGCTTGTCCTCCCATCGAACCAAAAGTCCATCGTCAAGGCCCTTGTCGAGTCGCATACCTTCCACGCCGCCCAGAACATCGACGATGTCATCCAAGGCAAGGGTAAAGGTCTTGTCGCCGTACTGCATGGTCCGCCCGGCACGGGTAAGACCCTAACGGCAGAGGGTATCGCCGAGCTACTCCGTCGCCCGCTATATATGGTCAGCGCCGGCGAACTGGGCACTGACTCGCGGACCCTCGAGGCCGAGCTGAACAAGATTCTGGACATTGCGCACTCCTGGGGCGCAGTACTCCTCCTCGATGAGGCAGATGTTTTCCTTGAGAAGCGCACGATCCACGACATCCACCGCAATGCCCTTGTCAGCATCTTCCTCCGTCTGCTGGAGTACTTCCAGGGCATTCTGTTCTTAACTACCAACCGTGTTGAGACCTTTGACGATGCCTTCCAGTCACGTATCCATGTCGCCTTGCGCTATGGCGATCTGGCTTCCAAGGCGAAGAGGAGCATTTGGAAGATGTTCTTGGAGCGCGTACGCGCTATTGAGGGTGTGAACATTGCTTCTTTCGCCGAGGAGGATTACGATATGCTTTCCAGGCACACACTGAATGGGCGACAGGTATGTTTACCAGGGTTTAATTTTTGTTTTTTCTTCCGTCCCAAATTTTTTACTCCCCTTCTGGTCTGCAGACTAACCTATCTACTATCAGATCAAAAATTCAGTCCGCACCGCACAAGCCCTGGCCGTCAACGAGAATGTTCCCCTCTCCATGGAGCATATCAAACGCGTGCTAGAGGTGGCTGAGACATTTGATCAAGACCTACGCGGCGGAACGGGATACCTGGACGCCATGCGGAGCTATACTTGATTCTGTCTTGACTATTTCCGATCATCTCCGGGAAGATGGGTGCGTTCTATGAACATCGGTGCAGCTCTAGCACAACTCGCTTTTTTTTTAATCTTTGCTTTCCGTGTTTGCTTGCTGTTTTCGGTTCATCTCAGGTACAGTGTGCCAAGTTGGCAACGCCTCTTTTTTCGTCTTCTTGCATTGCGGACATGGAGCGAATGAGTAAAGCTAGTTTCAATACACATTTTGGCTCGAAAATGAGTAAAGTTACAAGTCAGGATCGTCGTATAGACCAGTTTGTGGGTTGGAAAGATTGATCTAGGAAAGAAAATTGTCATACACTTTCATTATTACAAAAAAAAAACAAAAGTCACGACGAGTCATGGAGGGTTGTACATGGAACATTTCAAGGGTTGGCCTTGACGAATTCAACACCCTTCTGGATGTTCTTCTTCAGGTCAGCCAGACAGGCATCGAGGAGACCCTGCTCGTACTCGTTGATCTCGCCAACGGAGTGGATCTGCTCAACACCGTTGGGGCCGAGCTCGACACGGGAAGCGAAGAAATCGATACCCTGGTCCTTGTACAGAGGGGAGTCAACAAAGGTGGGCTCGATGACACCCTTCTCGCCCTGGGCGGCGCGGAGGAGAGACTCAGCGAAGCGGGCACCGGCCATAGCCATGGAGAGGGTGGCGGAGCCGGCACCGTCCTTGGCCTTGACAACCTCGTCACCACCGAACTGAATACGGTTAACAAGGGCATCGCGGGCCTGACCGGCGATGGAGGAGTGGTTGGACTGCGAAAGCAGGGGGACGATAGTCACACCGGAGTGGCCACCAACAACGGGGACAGCCTCGCCGGAAGGGTTGGTGCTCTGGACCTGCGAGATGAAGCGCGAGGCACGAACGACGTCAAGGGTAGTAACACCGAACAGACGCTTGGGGTCGTAGACATTGCGAGCCTTGTAAACCTCAGCGACGATGGGGACGGTAGAGTTGACCTTTGATGAATAGTTAATAGAGCACCTCATTTTGTGGTGAATTTTTGCAACTTACAGGGTTGGCAATGACCAGGACGTGGGCCTTGGGGGCGGCCTCAGCGGCGGCCTTGGCGAGATCGCGAACGATGGAGGCGTTGGTGTTGAAGAGGTCATCACGGGTCATACCAGGCTTGCGAGGGACGCCAGCGGGAATAAGGATGATCTCGGAGCCCTCGAGGCAGTCACGGAGACCGGAAGCATCGGGGGTGTAGCCGGTAACAGTGCTGTTGGTGTTGATGTGGCTCAAATCAGCAGCGACACCTAAACCAAGTCAGTAATTGGGGTGGTTTGGAATTGAATCTTTAAATTCGTACCGGGTCCACCGCGGATATCATAGAGAGCGAGCTCGGAAACACGAGGGTTGAGCTTCAGCAACAGCGAGAGAGGCTGGCCAATACCACCTGCGGCACCGAGAACAGCAACCTTGGAGGCCTGCGCAAGTAAGCTTTAATTGAGGAAGGTAGAGGAATAGACACGCACATTGATAGCGGAGGCCGAGAAGGCACGCTTCTGGAAGAGGTTGGCAGTACGGCGAGCGGCAAACATGATTGATATCGTTTGGAGAGATGGGAAGAAGAAAGTTGGAAGGGGAAGGAGGAGATTCCAGTGAAAGAGATTGGCCGGGGGCTCCACAACAGTTTCCGAGCTCCCGATGCTCGGCTGAAAGTGGTTTTCGGGGTTTTTTTTTTGTTTTTTTTTTTTTACTTTTCGATTACTTCGAGTACTGGGTTATTTTGTATGTCGAAATTGTTTCTAACTCATTTCCTCTAGGATTCGATCAAATTAAAGTCTCTTAGAATCTCGTTAGAATCTGAAAGTTCTCTTATTCCCATGCTAAGATGCTGATATTCCATTCTCGGAGCAAAGGATGTAGGTACAACAAACATGGTGGAATTCGGGATGTGGTATCACATCATCGTACCAAGCTAGGCAATTTTTTTTCATCGGTCAAAAGTACTGAAGAAGAATCAATTCTTGAGATGTTGTTGTGAGGTTCTTGATGAGAATCATATTTGCTTAAGGGACCGGCTTAACATGCAAATGAAGGCGTGATTGGTATATACTAGCCCGGGGTCACAGGCCAGAAAGTTCCAATTTCACCCAACTCCTACGTTGTAGAACTAGACAGTCAATGCCTTGTGATCAAGAAATGAATACTTTACCGGATCTCAGACAGGTACAAGATGTCTGCACTTCACAAAGAATGACAGCTAGTGGGGTACCACTGTTGCATCTGACATACAATATACAATGCCAGACATTCCCGACTAAACCTACACTCTTGATGCGCAGTGTAAAAAAAAATTTAATTGCAAAGACCAAACGCCGACGCTGATGAACCTAATACAAGATATAAGATCACGCCCTACCCAGGTAAGCACCGAGGACTCTCGCCAGCTCCCAAAGATACCCATCCAGACAGAAATCAAGAACACAGTGGTATAATCCTACCGCAAGAAGTGCAGCACTGCCCAACAGAACAAGAAAAAAATCACCACTCCACCCCAGAAAATCCACTTATCCTGACGCGCCCGCCGCTCCACCATCCGGATTGTATCGCCGCTCACACCAAGGGTGTTGGCAACGCTGTATAGTCGTCGCTGCGTTCCCTTGAGTACTTCACGCTGCTGCCCTAGGTCGGCGAGGACCGCCCTCCCTCGGTCTAGGAAATCATCGAGCTGGTTGTTTGTATTGGAGAAAAAGGACTGCTCGCGCAGCGCGTTGGTTTCGCGGTTGTAGTCCGCTGGGTTAGCGCCAAAGCCGAGACCTGAAGATGAGGGTGCAAAGGTCGAGGTGCTCTGGGGGAGTGAGGACTGCGCATAGGGGTTTTCTGGGGTTGCAGCGTGATGTGGGCGACGGCCTAGCAGTTCATTGCGGTTGGTAATCGATTGCTGGCATGAGGGTTAAGATGGAAGCACCCTATGAAAGAATTAATGGACACATACCGCATCTTCGCGTTCTTTGCGGAGTCGATCGAATTGTGCCCGGTAGTCTGCAAGCTCACTTCGGAAATTTTTGATGCGGTCGAATGCCTTTTGTTGTTTCTCGAGAATCAATTCCTTCTTGGAGAGCGCTGAGTAGTCGTCGACGGTACGGGAAAGTGATGCCAAGGAGGCTGCAAGCTGGCCTAGGAGCTTGGAGTCAATACATTGAATTGCAAAGAGTGGATGGTAGGAGCGCACCTTGTAATGCGGGTGATGAGGTGGTTGGTGACTGTGAAAAGGTGTCCAGATCACGGCGGATGGACGACGATTGCTTTAAAGCAGAATTGAACAGCGAGTTCTGTTCATGTCAGTTGTGTAAAGCTATCGCGGGGAAGTGCAACACACCATGTTGTCACTGCTCCGTATAGATTAGATTCTTGGATTGCTTCGATACCCAATCAGTTGTCAGGTTGGTAAGAAGAGGGGTAAACTATAGCAAGCACCTGAGCTAGTGACTTTCTTTCCCCGAATACCAAGGTGATTATCAACTGATCCAACCGGACAGATGGTCTTGTTTGGGCCCATTCACACGTGGGTTCACCGCCTTCAGGTCCAGTGCATTCTACGAAGTATCCAACATGCATCTGCAAAGCCCTTGAGATTTGTAGGTTCTGTGAGGTGTATCAAGTTCAAATCTCGACCAGCCGTGATTGCGAACAAGCTAAACTTGACATATTGTCTCAGAAGTGCTACAAATGCTAGAATTTTTCAAAAGAAAAAATGATGCCATCGTGAAAGGTACTGGTACAGTGATCCGATACGATACCATAGTCACCAAATGAACAACATAAAAAAAAAACCACGAAAAGTGCTGGGATGGTATATCAAGACATAAAGCAAATAAGCAGCACTTTAAAAAAGAAGATGAAACACCGTACGTCTATTTGGGAGGGAACTTGTTCTGCAGGAACCATCTAGATCATGGATTAGCCACACTCATCAGTCTGGACATGTATACGTCACTTACTTGCTGACAAAGTAGTCCACCGTACCGAAGACTCCAACAGCACCAGCAGTGAGTCCGACCAGCTCCCAGGAGAGGTTGCCCTTCGTGTGTTGCTTGTAGGCACCGAAGCTGAGGCCTGCGCCGATCACGGTTGCGATAGCGGCATTGGCAAGGAAGACAGGGTTGCTGGTGTTTCCACGGATACTACTGCTCTTCACCTTGTGGGCCTTAGCCTTCTTCTTCTTCTTTTCCTCCTCCTCGCGCTTCTCCTTCTCCTCAGCTTCGCGCTCTATCCGCTCCGCCTGGGTGGTGGTTTGGACATCTTGCTTGAGGAAGTCGGACTCCACAGTCTGCACATGGGGGCCATCGACGTCGATCAATGAGGCCGTGCTCTCGGATTCATCGTGGTAGATCCCGTCCACCGGGGGAGCACGGCTGGAGTACATGTTAGTTGTGTGTAATGGATATTTAATACCGCACAAAACTCACGCCTGTTCTATATTAGTGCTGTAATTAAGATATAAGAGCTTGAATACTTACATCCTCGGGGGACTGCTTGGGGCCCTTTGCAGCTGCGGCGGCGTAAGACATGGTGTTGCGCGTGAGGAAATTAGAGGGTAATAAATCTAGAAAAAAACTGGTCAACCCCTAGAACACCTAGAATGAAAAGAAATCCTGACTTGCTAGAAACGGGATGTGGGAAGGATGGAGTTCGAGAGGGAAAGAAGGATTTATACCAAGGAAGCTGGATGTGACATCACGTCATTGACCTGGGCCCACTACCAAGGTTCCATGGGGATAATTTCCGCAAAGATGTTGATCTCATAGAATGTACTGCTCGTGTACAGGTAGATACAAGTAGCAGTATCTCCAAAGATTCATCTATCGAAACTAGTTAGTTCAACAAAATGATTCATTAATAGAGGATCTCGGAAATGGTCCTGACCTGAGCCTCAAGCCACCTACGTTATCAGATATTCCAACCAACTTCACCAAAATCCAAAAAAAAAGATGTAGAAGTCGAGGAAAGTTCCATTGAGAGGATTTAAAGCTGCTAAAGAGATCAAAAACAGATGGGACCTATGTAATGGTCTAATGGGGGAGGCAAGGTGTTTTAATACAGATTACAGATACGTCAGAACAAGAGAGCTTTGCTGTTTACAGCAGAAGCTCCAGAGGGTTCTCGACGACCTTCTTCAGCTCCTTGATCCATTCGCCACCAACGGCACCGTCAACCACCTTGTGGTCAAAGCTACCAGTCACGACGATCTGGTCGTCCCATTCGGTAGTGGTGCCCTCCTCGGTCTCGACAGGGACGGCAACCTTGCGGGTGGTGCCAACAGCCAGGATACCGGCCTGCGGGGGGTTGATGACAGCGGTGAAGCGCTCGACAGCAGCGTTCATGCCCATGTTAGAGATAGTGAAAGTGCCGCCCTGGTACTCCTCGGGCTTAAGCTTGTTCTCGCGGGCACGCTTGCCAAGATCCTTAATCTGCTTGGAGATGCTGGAGAGTCCGAGACCCTGAACGTTCTTGACGACCGGGGTGATCAGACCAGTGGGGGTAGACACAGCGACGCTGATGTCAACAGTATTGTGCTGACGGATCACGGCCTGGCCGTTCTCCTCGCGCCAGCTGGAGTTGACCTGGGGAACTTTGAGAAGGGCAACAGCGCATGCCTTGACCAAGAAGTCGTTGACGGAAAGCTTGTACTGGCCCTCAGCGGAAGCGTTAAGGGCCTGGCGGAGTTTCAGAAGCTTGGTAACCGAGAGAGTGGTAGAGACGAAGTAGTGGGGGTTCTCGGCCATGGACTGCTTCAGGCGGTTGGCAATGGTCTTACGCATCGAGCTGACGGGGATTTCCTCGAACGAAGCCTCGCCGGAGACGGCAGTAGTGGCGGGCTTGGCCTTCTCAACATCCTCCTTGGTGATGACACCACCACGACCGGTCCCCTTGAGGCCCTTGATGGATATACCCTTCTCGAGGGCCAAGAGCTTAGCGGCGGGGCTAATAGAGGGCTCACGGTCAATGCTAGGCTGGAGCTTCTCGTCCGAAGTCTCGGGCTCTTGGGCGGCAGGTGCCTCCTCAGCTGGGGCCGGGATTGAGGGCTCAGCGCTCTTGGGCTCCTCCTTCTGCTCAGCGGCGGCAGACTTGTCACCACCCGCATCAGCCAGAGTAAATGACTCGAAGGCAGAGACATCAGCACCTTCCTCAACAAGAACGGCAATGGGCTATAAAGAAGGCAAGTTAGATTGAGAACCAATCCCCACGGAGAAAACCGGGAAATTTCTTACCGAGCCAACAGCGATATCCTTCTCGCCGCTCTCCTTGAGAACCTTAGCGAGGACACCCTCATCCTGGAACTCAAAATCCATCTGTGCCTTGTCGGTTTCGATCTCAACCAAGACATCACCGGGCTGCAGGACATCTCCGGCATTCTTCTGCCACACACCAATGTTTCCGGCGGTCATTGTCGGCGAAAGTGCCGGCATGCTGATGAGTGTGTGGGGAGGGAAAGCTAAGGATAGACATATTAGGATTGGTGTGTGGGAGAATGGGAAAAATTAATGGTCATTACACTTGGAGGCATAGAAGCGGGAAAGAGCAGAGAGCGCAGGCAGTTGGGCCCTAGTGAAAGCATCATTAGTATCAACTCACATTCACAATTTATATCAATAGAACATACTGAATCACCTCCTGGAGCTTGGAGGAGACCTGGGGCCGGCGCATGGCGGCGGCACCTCTGGACATGAACATGGCGCTCGGGGTGCGCATCCGAATAGCTGACGCAACCATGGTGCCTTAAACTTGTTGCGATTATGAAAATAAAGGAATAAAAACCCTTGACGCTGAGATAATCGAAATTAAAAAGAGCCCGGCACAGAGAAAACGTGAAGGCCAAGAATGGATAAGGTTGGGGTGGAAGGAGATGCCTCTAAATCACGAACTTTTCTGTTGAGCTACCTGTGGCTCCCGGTGAGAGGAGCGGCAGCGGCCTCTTCCGACATTGTCACGTGTTGTAATTTACAGTTTCAGGCTCCAGATATGTATTGACGCCTTTCTCACCGCCGTGAGCACACACCCCTAGAAGGACATTGGAAAGCAAACAAAAGCATGATTAGATGGTCAATCAATGGCATACATATCTGGAGATAGAATCCCATCATTCTCATTCTTTTGACTTGTAACATCTATAAATGATTCTTATTAAGGATTCACAATACGAATGCCCTTAGATTAGCGGTACATGCATACTAAGGCGATTACAGAACCAGACGATCAACGTTCTGCCGGGCAAAAAAGGCTGGTGAGAACCTTTGGAATCTCCGGCTCCAGCCAATCTCTGGATTAGGTAAGCATGCATTAGTCCCGATTCGGAGAAGACACGCAGCCCCCGTCCTTGCATGTCATCGCGATTGTCTCAAGCTTCCCCACGTTTGCTCGTTCGATGTTTTTGATCTAATTAGATCACTCCGCCCGGAGTCTATTTGACCATGGCGGACATTGAACTTGGCTCTGAGCCGACACCATCCATTGAAATGCCTGAGAAACCTGTCGATACCCCCGACATATCTCCCACAGCACCAAACTCCGACAAGCCAACACTGCCCGAGCAGTCCGAGTCACAAGAAATAAACCAGAAGGGTGACGAGGAAGTATCTGAGGACCAGGAAGATGAAAAAAAACCAGAGGTTCCACTCAAGGACGAGACTGAACAAGAAACCCAAACAAACGGACCACCCACGATTCAGGAACCCCCCCGGGAGGACAACGATGCGATAGAAATCAGGCTGCGCTCAGATTCGCGGTCAACAACCGCTACGTTTATGACGCAGCGATCTAGTCCGATTAGCTCGACAGTCTTTATTGTGACGGCTCTGGACAACATTGCTGCTTCGCGCGACGCCCGGAGGGACAAAAAGCTGGAGGATGCCACACAGGTGGCCCTGGCCAATATCAGGCAGCCTGATAGGCAAGCAATTGATCCGGAGCTTATCTTTCGTCCTCTGCATCTGGCAAGTAAAGCCCCCAGCATTCCTCTGCAGGTTACTGCATTGGACTGCATAGGAAAGTTGATCACATACTCCTATTTCGCATTCCCATCCGCCGAGACAGACAAAAATGCATCCCGGGAACAACCTCCACTTATTGAGCGTGCTATCGATGCGATCTGCGACTGCTTCGAAAATGAAGCTACGGCAGTTGAAATCCAACAGCAGATCATCAAATCGCTGTTGGCAGCGGTCCTGAATGATAAGATTGTGGTGCATGGAGCGGGTCTCCTAAAAGCCGTCCGCCAAATCTACAACATCTTTATCTACTCTAAATCCAGCCAAAACCAGCAGATCGCTCAGGGGTCGCTCACACAAATGGTCAGCACAGTCTTTGATCGAGTCCGGACGCGGATGGATCTCAAAGAGCTCCGAGTGCGAGAGCTGGAAAAGCCATCATCTTCCATTGATGCATCGGCGAGTGATGTGGGCCAAACCTCAGAGGCGGCTTCCATGTCCGTGGTTGATCAGCCTGTAACTAAAGAGCCCACCGCTGAGAAGCTTACCTTGCAAAGTTTTGAGTCGCCTAAAGAGGTAACTACTGTCAACGACAATGCGCCAACTACAGTTACGCGCGCTAAGCGTTCAACAACGAGATCGATGTCGGGCATACCCGAGGAGAGAGACGACGATAGCTCGGCCGAGGACGATGTGGACGAAATTTATGTGAAGGACGCTTTTTTGGTTTTCCGAGCGCTCTGCAAGTTGAGCCATAAAGTCCTGACTCACGAGCAGCAGCAAGATGTCAAATCTCAGAACATGAGGTCGAAGCTTCTTTCGCTACACTTGATTCACTATCTTATCAACAACCACACCGCAACCTTTTTATCCCCCCTGGCAGCAATCAAGAACAGCTCATCCAGCGTGGATGGAATGAACCTCCTTCTAGCTGTTCGGCCCCATTTGTGCCTAAGTCTAAGTCGTAATGGCTCTAGCGCCGTGCCTCATGTCTTCAAAGTTTGCTGTGAGATTTTCTGGCTGATGCTGAAGGACATGAGAGTCATGATGAAAAAGGAGCTCGAGGTGTTCTTGAAAGAGATCTATCTGGCCATTCTCGAGAAGCGCGGGGCTCCTGCGTTCCAAAAGCAGTACTTCATGGAAATTCTGGAGAGGCTAGGTGGTGATCCACGAGCTCTGGTCGAAATATATCTCAACTACGACTGTGACAGAACCGCATTGGAAAACATCTTCCAAAAGTATGTCTTTTAATGAATTCTTGGTCTTCATTTGACGTGAACTAACCTTCTTAGTATCATTGAGCAGTTGTCCCGATACTCGAGTGTGCCGGTTGTAACAACATCTTCTCAGCAGCATCAATACCAAGAACAGCATACAAAAATGACAGCCATTGGCTCTGAATGGCACCATCGAGGAAACCTTCCTCCTTCGTTGACAAGTGCCCACATTGTCCCTACTCCACCGCCCCCGATGCCTCACATTCCATCGGAGTACGGATTGAAGCAGCAGGGTCTGGAATGTCTCGTAGAGATACTGCGCTCACTGGACAATTGGGCCACACAACGTATTGATGAGCAGCCCGAGGCAGCCATCCCTTCCAAATCGATGGACAACTCCCGTGAGTCTTTGGATACAAGCGTCCTTGTTTCACCGCATCCCGAGTCTTTCGAGAGTGGAACAGGCCGGTCCACACCTATGCCCGAAGACGACCCGAATCAGATCGAAAAAGTCAAGCAGCGAAAAATTACTCTCACAAATGCCATACAACAATTCAATTTCAAGCCCAAGCGTGGCATCAAGGCCTTCCTGAAAGAAGGATTCATCCAATCTGAGTCTCCCGAAGAAATTGCCAGCTTCTTGCTTCGAACAGACCGTATTGACAAGGCCATGCTGGGAGAGTATCTTGGTGAGGGAGAGCCAGAAAACATTGCCATAATGCATGCTTTTGTCAATCTGATGGAATTTACGAAGCGACGCTTTGTTGAGTCCCTGCGCTCGTTTTTGCAGCATTTCCGCCTGCCTGGTGAAGCCCAAAAGATCGATCGGTTTATGCTGAAGTTTGCCGAACGGTACACAACTCAAAACCCCAATGCCTTCGCCAACGCTGACACCGCATATGTCCTTGCGTACTCGGTGATTCTACTTAACACGGATCAGCACAGTACGAAAATGAAGGGCCGCCGTATGACCAAGGAGGACTTCATCAAGAACAACCGCGGGATCAATGACAATCAAGACCTGCCATCTGACTATCTTGGGGCCATATACGAAGAGATTGGAAGCAACGAAATCGTGCTATACACCGAGCAAGAACATGCTGCCAACCTCAATCCCCAACCCCCCGCTCCCACTGGCCTTGCGACCAGAGCTGGACAGGTGTTTGCTACCGTTGGACGAGACATCCAGGGTGAGAAATACGCACAGGCTTCTGAGGAAATGGCGAACAAGACAGAACAACTCTATCGTTCCCTCATTCGGGCCCAACGCAAGACAGCAATTAAAGATGCACTTTCACACTTCATTCCTGCAACATCAGATCGCCATGTTGGGTCAATGTTCAACGTCACCTGGATGTCTTTCTTATCTGGTCTGTCTGCGCCGATGCAGGACACTTCGAGCCTGGAAACCATCCGGCTCTGCATGGAGGGACTCAAACTGTCCATCCGGATCAGCTGTGCCTTCGAGCTAGAGACTCCCCGTGTGGCATTTGTGACTGCCTTGGCGAAGTTCACTAACCTCGGAAACGTAAGGGAGATGATGGCCAAAAATGTCGAGGCGCTGAAAGCCTTGCTTGATGTCGCCTTCACCGAGGGCAACCACCTTCAGGGCTCGTGGCGAGATGTTTTGACATGTGTCAGTCAACTTGATCGGCTCCAACTCCTGAGTGATGGTGTTGATGAGGGATCGCTGCCTGACGTTTCAAGGGCACCCTCATCAGCAGATACCTCCCGCAGATCTATGCAAAGTACACGGCGCGCTCGCCCTCGTTCTGTGAATGGACCAACCGCTTTCCGTCCAGAAGTTGCTATGGAGAGCCGTTCGGCAGACATGATTCGCGGCGTGGACCGTATCTTCACCAATACTGCCAATCTGTCGCATGAAGCCATTATTGACTTCGTTCGGGCCTTGAGCGAGGTCAGCTGGCAAGAAATTCAATCTTCCGGTCACACAGATTCACCCCGAACCTACAGTTTGCAAAAGCTTGTTGAGATCAGTTACTACAACATGACTCGTGTCAGGATTGAGTGGTCCAAGATCTGGGATGTCTTGGGTCAGCACTTCAATCAAGTTGGCTGCCACTCTAATACCATGGTTGTCTTTTTTGCTTTGGATTCGCTCCGACAACTTTCGATGCGCTTCATGGAGATTGAGGAGTTGCCTGGCTTCAAGTTCCAAAAGGACTTCCTTAAGCCTTTTGAACACGTGATGGCAAACAGCACCACTGCTGCTGTCAAGGACATGATCCTACGGTGTCTGATCCAAATGATTCAAGCCCGTGGCGACAACATCCGTTCGGGATGGAAAACCATGTTTGGTGTCTTCACAGTCGCAGCAAGGGAACCTTATGGTAAGCCTTGATGCTCAAACTGCTCCACCGCTCGCTAACGCATTTAAACAGAGGGAATCGTAAACATGGCTTTTGACCATGTTACACAAGTCTACAACACTAGATTTGGCATAGTGATCACCCAAGGTGCCTTTGCAGATCTCATTGTATGCCTGACTGAATTCTCAAAGAACTCAAAGTTTCAAAAGAAATCGTTGCAGGCAATTGAAACCCTCAGGTCTACCGTCACTAAAATGCTAAGGACTCCAGAATGTCCCTTATCACACCGCGGTGCTTCGGCGGCCACATTCCAGGACAATGGAACCAATCTTGCTAAACAACTTACCCGTCAATCACAAGAGGAGCAGTTCTGGTATCCGATTCTCATCGCATTCCAAGATGTACTTATGACAGGAGATGATCTCGAGGTCCGCTCAAGGGCGCTCACATACCTCTTCGATACGCTCATCCGACACGGTGGCGATTTTCCTAGGGACTTTTGGGATGTCCTCTGGAGACAGCTCCTCTATCCGATTTTTGTGGTCCTGCAGTCTAAGTCTGAAATGTCCAAAGTTCCGAACCACGAGGATCTTTCAGTTTGGCTGTCTACGACAATGATCCAGGCGCTACGGAACATGATCACTTTATTCACGCACTATTTTGATGCTTTGGAGTACATGCTGAGCCGCTTCTTGGAATTGCTGACATTGTGCATATGTCAAGAAAATGACACGATTGCACGAATTGGCAGCAACTGCCTGCAACAGCTGATTTTGCAGAATGTTGCAAAGTTCAAACAGGAGCATTGGTCCCAGATTGTTGGGGCATTCGTGGAGCTCTTCAGCAAAACGACAGCTTATGAACTTTTCACGGCTGCTGTCTCGATGTCTAAGCCAGCAGAGGCAGTTAATGGGAGCCCCACGCAGTCTCCGGATGCTGCTGTAGCAACAGGAGATTTGCCTGATGCGTTGCAGCCCAACGGATCTCAAAGCACATCTTCTCTCCATGAAAGTGGAGATCCTCCTGTTCAAAGTGAAGCCCGCGCCGAATTAGAAGACTATCGCCCTCAGTCAGACCATCAGCAACCTGCAGCTGTCACTGCAGCTCGACGCCGATACTTCAACCGCATCATCACGAATTGTGTTCTGCAGCTGCTGATGATTGAAACTGTCCACGAACTTTTCTCGAACGAAACTGTCTATGCACAGATCCCCAGTGTTGAGCTTCTCCGGCTCATGGGACTGCTGAAAAAGAGTTATCAGTTCGCCAAGAAGTTCAACGAGGATAAAGACTTGCGGATGCTACTCTGGCGTCAAGGATTCATGAAGCAACCCCCTAATCTATTGAAGCAAGAGAGCGGCAGTGCCTCTACCTACGTGCATATCCTCTTCCGAATGTATCACGATGAGCGCGAGGAAAGACAGAGCAGTCGCGCGGAAACCGAGGCTGCACTAATTCCGTAAGTTGATTCTCCCTTCCTTTTTCCCTTTTGCTGTTCAAATCTAATCTCACCAGACTCTGTGGGGACATTATCCGCAGTTTCGTCCGCCTTGAAGAAGACACCCAGCACCGCAACATCGTCGCTTGGCGTCCGGTGGTGGTTGATGTCATTGATGGATATACCAATTTCCCGCTGGATGACTTTAATAGGTATATCGAGATATTTTACCCTCTCGGAGTTGAGCTTCTGAGCCGTGATCTCAACCCGGAAATTCGCGTTGCCCTCCAGTCTCTACTGCGCCGGATCGGCGAGGTCCGACTGGGCATTGCTCTGCCCAATCCCCTGGACGTTCCCATCAGCCCGCGCAGCTCCATCTCTCAAAAAGCCTCGCGCCATGATAGCCTGGTCTGACTTACTGCATGATTTTTTGGATATCCTCGCTGCGGGCTTGATTTTCGGCGTTTTATAACCCGACTCTTCGGGGTCTTGTGTTCTCACACGAGCATTTTGTTTTACTTTAGAGATACAAAGCTGGTTTATTGACCAGACAAAAGATATTTCTTCATTTGGTTTTCTTTTACTTTTTTTGCACTTCCTCTGGAGTAGGAATCTTACCCGACTCATAAAAGGATAATATGCTGTCCATGTCCTTTTCTGACATCTGTACAAGATCATCGAGATTCCATGTTTCGCAGACGCCGGACATCCTATGATCATTAGCCTTTACTTGTTTCTGAAGAAGAGCCGGAGTATTGCAACTCACCATTTCATTCTCTTGGGGCCTTGGTCAGGCTTCGGCGCAACCTCTCGGAGCTTCTTCCGTAGTTTTCCCACGTTCTCAATAGCTGCCCCCATGTTCAATGGCAAAGTCTCTGCGATCTTTTTCCGCACAATACTGGCTAGCTTAGGCCCGTTCCCATTTGTGCTCACCATAATCTGCAATGGCCCATCGCGGTGAACACTTCCAAAATAGAAATCACATTCAGGTGGGACATCAGCAATATTGGCAGTAATTCGCCTCTGCTTGCAGAGTTTCCAGACCTGCGTTGAAGCTTCAGGGTCGTCGATGGCACATAGCACCATGTCCACATTGTCGAGGTCGGATGGCTCGAAGTTTCGATCAACGTGTGTGACTTGCTTTTCTGTCACTCTGAAAGCCACTTCTTCATTTAGTCCAGCGGCTGGACAAACAACAGTAACCCGGGCGTCAGCATCGAGAGCGTTGAGGATGCGTCCTGCAGCAACCTAGCAGAGATATAGATTAGTCCCCAGTCACAAAAAACGATTTAGAGCTGTCATCAGTGTTTCCACGTACCTCCCCACCCCCTACGACTAGAACATGCTTGTCTCTAATTTGCCAAGCGAGTATCAATGAACCTCCACCTTGTACTTCTGGGAACTTAGCCATGGTGGGATGCGGGAATGATGCTTGTTTATCGGCCTTCCGATAAAGAACACCCGTACGGTGAGCGACTCAAACCATCCCCGCAGTATTCCCGAGCTTTTCCCTTGCGAACTTTTTTTCGTTTTTCTTCTTTTTTCTTCCTTTCACGTCACTCATGACTTTTTCTTAATCATGCGGGGCGTCCAGATATTCTCGGGGAATTCTCACCCCGGTCTCGCAGATACTATCTGCGAGCGTTTAGGCACTGTACCTGCCAAAGCTAACCTAGGAAAATTTGCCAATGGCGAGACCAGTGTCAACATCGGTACCTCAGTGCGGAACCAGGATGTTTACATCATTCAAAGTGGTAGCGAGAAGATTAATGATAGTGTTATGGAGCTCCTGATCATGATCTCAGCGTGCAAGGGTGGCTCAGCGAAGTCCATTACAGGTATGTTGCTGATGACTCCAAATCTAAAAGCTTACCCCACTAACTCGTTTCTCTAGCGGTCATGCCGTATGCTGCCCGTCCTGTTTGACTCAAATCACAGACAATGCTGACTCTAAAATGAGATATTTCCCATACTCGCGTCAATCTAAGAAGAAGAGTCATCGAGGTGCTATCACGGCCCGCATGCTCGCCAATCTCCTCACGATCGCTGGCGTGGACCATGTGATCACCATGGACCTGCACGTATGTTTGTATGCGATGTTGAGCTTTGTAATATGGATATTGATGGGCTCCTAGGCATCCCAGATGCAAGGATTCTTCGGAAAGCCGGTCGACAACCTCTTTGCCGAACCGTTTATCGCCCGCTGGATTCGGATGAATGTTCCCGGCTGGAAAGACGCAGTGGTGGTTAGCAAGAATGCTGGCGGAACCAAGCGAGTCACATCGCTGGCTGATACTTTGAAGCTCAACTTTGGTATCGTGACAACGGATCGTCGGCGTCCGAAGGTCCCCGTCGCTACTATGGCTGATAGCACAGTCTTCTTTGATGCTGCGGATGAAGATCCCCTCTCAACTAAGGAAGCACGGCCTTTTGAGCTTCATATGCACAGTTCTAAAAGAACACCTGCAACACCTCCCATCCCGGAAAAGCCGGAGCCAACCACACCCCCTTCTGCGCGTTATCTTCTGCGCCCGGAAACCCCTCCTGCGGCCCGCCGCCCATCGGAACTGGAAGCAGCATACGAGTACACGGACGTGCGTGTGCGAGATGTGATCACCGGTCGCCTGGTCCAAGGTCAATTAGTTGATGATGATTATCGTATGAACGAAGGCTCACAGTCTGGCGGCACTACACCGGGAGCTGGCAGCAGCAGCCATGAAAATTCAGATGCTATTCCTGATTCTATGATGGCCTCCGTGATCTCCAACGCCTCATCGCAACCTCCTGATCATGCGCTCGGTGGTTCCTTTGATGCAGTTGAGTCTGACGACGAAGCTAGTGTTTGTGGCGGCCATGTCGATGAAAGGACTATCACGCTGGTGGGTGAGGTGCGCGACCGAACTGTCTTCCTTGTCGATGACATGATAGACAAAAGCGGATCGTGGATCGCGGCTGCAGAGACTGTTGTCAAACGTGGCGGGGCCAGCAAGGTTTACTGTATAGCTACCCATGGATTGTTCGGGGAGAACTCCTTGGATCAGATGGAAGCGTGTCGCTCAATCGACCACATTGTCGTGACTAACACTTTCCCGATCTCCCCTTCGATGTTGCGGAGATCAAAAAAACTGATCATCATTGACGTATCGAGTCTATTGGCAGAGAGCATCCGGAGACACCATTACGGCGAGAGGTTTGTTTTCACCGACCCTGGTGTCGTGTGACCATCCACTAACAATGAGTAGTGTTTCGGCTCTTTTCCACCTTAACGACTGATGAGGCATATGGCAGTAACGAGGGAAAAAGAAATATAAAAAGTAACGAAACCAAGCAAAGAAAGACCTGGATACTTCTTCTAGGCTGTTGGTTTTTTTTTGCGTACTGATGTGCAGATTCTCCTGCGACCGTTGATGACAAGATACCTATTTCCTATCAAATGAACGACCCGTTCTGGACCTTTCGCCCCTTCCTCATCGATCCTCGGGTGTCCTCCCCTTTGTCCCCCTACCGTTCTCGACCTCGTAGAGTGATCTTATCACGACCTTCCAAACCAGCGATGCAGTCCACTCTGGGTTCTGCAGGAGCATCTCGTTTTCCACAAGGTGTTCTTAACGGAGCGTTGGCAGATTAAACCGGATCTTGTTTTCTTTCTTCATGCTGTATTCCCTTCTGGGTCTATGGCATGGAGAAGCCATCCCTTTCTCAGTTCTTCGGAATGAATGACCTCGCGGTCGTGGAAGCGGTGCAAGGAGGCGATCTCGAACATTATTTAATTCGACAGCAAACAATTCATCTTAATTTACCCTTTTCACATTTGATAATTCTACCCTGTTCGATCGTGCACGCAAACTTTCCCGACCTTCCACGGAAACTGGAGATACCTAGCAGTGCCGAAGATTTCCTTGCCAACGACTGTTCCCGATTTTTCTTGTCATTTTGACTTCATCTCCGTCACACCGATGCGGTTGGCCGTGAAGGATTCTGGAAGCCGGGTTGTGACTCGGTTGTGGTCTGGTGATCGCCCAGAGTGTGTCCACTGCGGGAGTAGAGGTGTCTACGGATGGTACTCCGTGATCCGTACACTCTTCCCATATGGGAGTGTCGATGTGCACGCTTCCATTGATCGACCGTGAGACAGTTAGAGCCGAGTTAGAGCTGAGAGTTCCCACTTTTCAAAGGGCAGCTAGTTCCAGTCTCCAAGTTTAGCATCTTCTCACCCGAGCAGATCTCGAACGGCTATGGTTGGCCCAATTTGCAATCCTCAGATGACACAGATGGACCTAAGATCACTCAAGCATTCCTTGTAAACCCATCGGAAGTGTAGTCTTTCTCTGATCAATACCTACCCATGTCTCGTCCCGTTTTAACCCCCCCTCTAAGTTGATAGTTGCAGATAGGACTCGACGAAGCCTACCGTTGTGTCACCTCTGAGCATCCTCTCGGTTGTTTTGGTACTCTGTACTCATTCCATACTCTTGTACTCTTGTACAAGAGTACAAGAGAACTGGAACTGCCCCATCCAGTCGCTGGAGAAGATCTTGGCTAGACTGTGGTAGAATTCCCAAACCAAACAGGTGGACTTGCAGATGTGACAGAGATCACAGTCCCAAACGAGAGACTCACCAATTCCATTTTCGTTTGGTTTTTTCTCCCAGAAATTTTCAGGGCTTTGCGGCTATTCAATAAGCAATTGGACCATGCAAGCGCCAAACCGGCACTGCACGAGTGCCGGCCGGGGGGGGGGGGGGGGGGGGGTAGTATCCTAATCGAATTTGTCACTTGATGTGACCAGCTGAGAGGCAAATAGTTGAATTGGCTCGCAATTTTCTGAACCTGAAACTAAAATTGAAATAGCTGGAAGCTGAGATGGTGCAAATAACTTGAGGAGCACCATGTGGATCTCTCTCTTTGGTCTTAGCGTCTCCGAAGTTGATGTATCAAAAGTTGATATTACTTTCAGGGGGGGGGATTTCTTCAAGGGGAATCAGGTCAATGTTTTGAAAAGAAGGCATAATAAATTCATTGCATAGGATCTAGGATATCCTGTTTCATTCGGATAGTATACAATGGAAACGGGATCTTATAGGATCTATATTAATATACTTCGTCTACTCTATAATATGCACTCGATCGGAACCAGATTGCTGGGATGCAAAGGTCCGATCGAAAGAGAAAAAAAAAAAGAAGCACAATGTACTCCGTACTATAATCCACCACCGCCAACTACATAGAAATCTCGTCTGTTTAATCCAATTCGTCGGGACAGGACATGTCTCGGCTCTCTACAACTCCACTTCTGATGACCGTCGGGTGAATAGGATCATACCAGTCATTTCTGTCATCTTTCTGGGATTTCTTCATTGTAAACTAGATTAATTCCCCTTTATTCCCTCTTTTTATCCCCCACGCATTGCACTAACCCAACATTAAGAGAGAAAAAAAGGAAATCAAAACTTATTATTCACTCGGGTCTCTTCCGGTTCCCTTCAGCTTTCTGGGATCCTTTGCGAGAACTTCCAATCATGTCTCAACGATCTCCATGATCTCTATGATCAAAGTCCCCATTGTCCCTTTGTTTAGACTGGATCTACCTAGTCTCATCTAGATTTCTATGCAAGATGGGACTTCGGCCTGGGAATTGCTCTCCCCATATATACATGGATGCTACAGTTTACTTCACAATTTTCTGTTGTATTTGGCTTGTGTTTTTCTTTTTTTTTAAAAAATTTTTCACTCAAATTTCTTTTTAAGAATAACAATTGTTCCCGGTTACATGCGTCATCGGCTTTGTGCGTATTTCGGATCTTTAGTTGTCGACTGGTTGCATCTGGGATCCCTTCTCACCGTGATCTCTAGAGAGAAGTACATTATGCTTGATCTGTCCTGGCCTTTTTGAAACTCATCTTGTTCACCGATTTCTTCACTTCATTGCCTGTCTCTGAATTCCTTTTCTACTCTTTCTTTTCCTCTATCCTTCTTGATTCCCCCCATTCCAACTGCCGGGAACTATTCTCCGCTTCTCCAAGTGATCGACGACGGCTCCCATTTCCTCGGGGTCTGCTTAATCTGTGAGTCCCAACGAGCATGAGATATGATGGAAACCACAATCTAACTGAGGAACAGTGTGTTTTTCAAGTTCAAATATCACAATGGCTAACCAATGCTCCGGTCACGTCTTTGCCATTGTCCAGGCGACCAATGGCAACATCCTGACTTGGCGCTGCTCCGACTGCAACTCTGGACCCTTTGTAGCCATTTGGCGCTGCAAGATCTGTGGACATTGTCGCTGTAATGCTTGCCACACCAACAAGGGATAGCTGTCTTATGGTGAGAAGAACCATTTAATCTAAGATGTCCTCTCTCCTGGCACAGGCTAACTTCCCCAAAGAGACCTTTGCATTTGCTTTCCAGCATTTTCAGGACGGATCTACTCCTCTGCATGAACCCTTGTGCAAGGGTAGTTCTCCCCCATCCAACCCCTTGGGGCTGGGTTTCGTTTCAATCCACCTTCGTGGCATCGTTTGGCGTGTGTTTGTGCATTTTGATGTGTTGCAATAAGTCCTCAAAAGTTTTTGATGCCACTGCATCTCGCATCCGGAGGAGTTTTACTTAGACCCTGTTTTTGTTTTTGGATTCCCCTTCTTTTTCATGTCTTACTCGATTTTATTCCCAACTTGTATTCTATCATCTGGATTTCCGATGGGAAAATGTCACACTATTTTATGGATCTTACAGCCAATCATGTCGTTAACGCTACAATTATGCACCTTACCCAAACTGGGTACCCCCAGCACTTCGAAAGGCACCATCTTAGGGCAGTTACAGTATGTACACTGTAGGAACTGGTGAACCCCATCTGAATATCGGCTCCTGATCTCCCCCGTCATACTCAAACGAGCAAAAACTCAAGTCTCGGTCTCGGTTTCGGGTTCGGTTATTCGGCTGCGCCTGTGGGTGCAACCAGGAAGAACTTCTATACTGAAAGGAAAAAAGGGTGATGAAAGTACCCAAAGGACCAAAGTACCAAGGTGCCAGAAATGACTACGAAACATGCTAGTCCATTCCTTTTCTGCGAATCTTTTTCCGAGAGCCATTCAAGTGATGATGAGATGTATCTCCTTTGGTGAAATTACGGTCCAGCGACTCGGAGCAAAAGTAAAGAGACTGTTCCATCCGGAGCACGGATTGAAGATCCCCAAATCCCCCAAATTAGAACAAATGGGAATAAATCGAGTCGAAATAAAGGGTTCCCAGGGGGTTGGAACAACTTTATTGCTTCTCCACTACGGTCCTTTTAAAGATTTGGATTTTGCAAAAGTACTGTGTCTATTTAGGGCTTCAATAGTATTTTGGTGCAGAGATGGGCCCGACTATGTACTCCGGACTCCAACAAGTTTCTTAATTTTCTTTTTAGCTTTTTTTTTTTTAAAAAAAAAAAAGTAGACCTTGATGCATATTTTTTGTATTCATCTCTGTTAACACCGAAATACGCACAGATCGGATTATGTGAGGGGAAAATATGCCATTCTCCTCTTCTCCTTCATTAGATTTAGGTGTAGATACTCTATCGATAAATTAGCAACCTCGTCGATATAGCCAAACAAAGAAATCGTGATGTTCAATCAATCTCACCTCAGTAATCTGATTCACAGCCAACCCAGGCTCAGCCATTTCAGCGTCGCGCAGGAAATCCAATGGTAACCAAACAAGGTGACCCTTGATGAGATCCAGCTTCTCACGCACATCCTTGACCGGCATATAGGGATCGAATAGATGTCCTTCCTTGTGTGTGCCCCGTGGTCGGAAATTGTCATAGTCTTCAAAAGTTTTGATATGATCGTCAGGGTCCGCCCGGAACAGCATCCGATACGCCTCGGTGTTCCCGCTCGCCTGCGACGTCCAGGTGTTCCAGACCCTATCGCTGAGTGGATCCATCACGAACTCGTTCTCTGGCCCCTCATCAATCTGGTTGAGAGACACATCGGGCGGTTGTGCGTTCGGGTCACCCGAGGCATCGAAGTCTTGAGCCCTCAAAAGGCCGAGGTGTTCACGCCACAGTTGCCGCCGGAGCGTTGCGGCCAATCGGGATGCTCGGTATGGCTGTCCATTCATTTGACTGTCGATTAAGTCTTGGTCTTCCATTACGATGGCCAGTTCGCTGTCGTGTGAGCCAAGCTGAGACTATGGGGTATATTGGACATCAGCTGATGATACAGACCAGAAAATAAGAAATGAACGCGTCAGACGCGACGAGGGATGAGCTACTGATGTCTACTTACCCGATCGTTGATGTTCGCACTGCCACAGATGATCGTGCGATCGTCGACGATACACACTTTGCCGTGCACATAGAGCTCCTCCTGGACGAAATTGCCCTTTTCGGCTTCTAGGTCGCCCTCCCAGACCTCGTCAGACATCTTACCCCCGTTCAACATGCTGCAATGTGACACTGAATCCTTGCTGTGGAACCCATCGTCGGCCCTTCTCTGCTCGACCTTGTCTTGGAAATTCTGGAGCTTGCGCAGAGTTTCTTGCTTCGCACTTTGATCGGCTGCGTAATCCTTTTCATTCTTATCGCCATCTATCCCCACCGCTGGGTGCACACTTTCACTCATGATAGTCTCTGCGATACCGCGCTGGATGTCTTGGTATGTGACATCGGCTTCCTTCTCGAGCTCCTCGAGAACGGGCGTTTTGTTGATTCGATCATAAGCGCGCAGAGCGAACACGAAGACATGTTCTGAACGAACTCGTTAGCCATGCAACTGAAACCGAGCCCGAAGAAAAAAAAATACACTCACCTCTTGGGTCAATCCCCTCTTTCGCGATCTGCCCAAAGATCGAATGTTCGCCGCGACAAATTGACTTGTACTGGTAGTCCATTATCGCCCGAGTGCCCAACGCAGCGTTATCGCGCAAATCACCAGCGAATCCAGGGATCGCGGGGATAAGAATGATGACCCGGAACTTGCGGCCCTCTTTGCCTGCACGCACGCAAGCGTCGACGATCGCTCGGCCGATCGTGTTGAAAATTGGGCGCTGTTGGTCGCCAGTGGCAGTGACTTGTGGAAGGTTAGCGAAGTTCACTACCAGAAGCGGATGTAGACACACTGAAGAATTGGTTCTCAATGTACACGTAATGCTGGGCATTGCGTATCGTCTCGCAGTACGCGTTTTGGATGCTGTGCTCATTTAGAATACCGCTGCTCCAGTCGTCACTGCTACGAACGATTTGAGCGCGCACAGTGCCCACGTTACCGCGAACCTTGGTTGATAGGGGTGTCAGTGGGTGTTGGATATATTCTCCACAGGGGTACTTGGGTCGCTGCACGGCGATGATATCTTCCTCCTCACCAGTGCGGCCCTCCATTAACAGCCAGTCGACATCGTGGCTGCGCTTATATTTGTCGCGCTTGATAAAGTTCCATCGCAGAACGAAGTGTTCGGCGATGTCATATACACAGTCGCCCTGCAAGCCCATGGCCACGTCGTGCCAGGGCATGCGACCAAAGTCGACTTTGCTGACTTCGTTACTTTGCCAGTCCTCTACACTCTGGAAGTCCATGATCCGGTTGTTGTTGAAATCCTGTCCGGGAAAAATGTCGTCTCGCAAACCTGCTGGATGGACATCGGCCAGCGGGTGCTGGTTTACATCCCATCGTCCAAAACAAAGATCAATGCCTCCGATAAAGCCAACATTGTAATCAATGACGATGAATTTCTCGTGGTGCGCCTTGGTATTTATTAATTTATGTCCTAGCTAATAGATCTCATGCACATACCCAGTAGAGAGTCATATCAGCTGCGTTTTCGAAGATATTGTGGTCGGGGTGGCGCATCACTCGGATATTGCCGTAGCCAGGAGTTCCCTTGGGGCAGAGGTTGCGCAAAGCATGCTTAGTGTGTGCGGAATTACAAGTCAGGGCTTGGTTGACCTATGGAACAGATAGATTAGCGTAGTTTTTTTCTTGATCGCAGCAAAAGAATGCTGACCTCTTTGTAGACAATGACATAAATCTTGACACCTGCTTCTGCGCGTCGCTTCAAGACCTGGTCCAGCCGCCATTCCTGGTGCTCAACAGGAGGACGGCGCAAAAAGAGTTCTGGAGAAAGCCACCAATCGGCAATGTAGATGGTCTCGGTGGCTTGTTCCAAGGCCTCAGAGACTGCCCACATGTAGTCTTTACCATCGACATACCACTTAACGCGATTACCGTCATGAATAGGTGCAAAAGACTTGAAACGGTGAGAGTCTGCAATCTCAGAGCGCTTTCGGTCTGTTGCTTGTTCGTGCTCCTCGTCATGTCGGTGGTTTGGGTTAATGATATTAAAGAACTTGCCAACTTTAGCCTTTAAATGTGTAGCTTCAGCTTTGACATCGTGGAGAGGGGTGTCTTGGACAATCAGGTCAGTTCTTTCTTTCTTTTTTGGGGGGGGATTAGCAGGCGGGGTTTTCAATTTGCCAACCTTTGAGTGACTCCTCTAAATGATTCATTCCTTGTTCAAACCTCTCCTTGAATTTCTGCATTATTGTCTGGGGGCAGAGTTGGAGAAAGGTGGGGGGGGGGGGGGGGGGG